AAGGGCAAACTGCAGGCATCCTTATCTACAGAAGCTGAGAGGCAGGTAAATCTTTCAAGGTCCTTGGAAAGAATCTCTGGGATAGTAAGATCTCTACTCTTCCACACGTCCTCCAGATGGACCGTACAGAAGAGAGGAGTCCTGTCCAGAAAGGGGCAGGGGGAGGGGGTCAAAACAGAGACCCTCTGCTTTCCCAGAAGCAAAGTTCAGAAATAATGCAGTTCAAGACATGGCCCATAAACTGTGGATCACCAGTCCACCGCAACTTCTAAAGCCATCCCAGCTATTTGCACCTGCCACAACAAGCAAAGGCATGTTCGCCGGACACGCCTCATCCAGTGGCTCACAGACCGGTCTGGATGGTGCTGAGCTCCCAAGGTGAGCCATGCCTGGCACAAGCTGCAAACTCCTTGTACAAACAAAGTAAGGCTATGTTTCCATCTGCAACATTTTGGGAATGAAGAAAAAAAAAAAGAAAACTGGCACTTTGCCACATTTCAGTTGAGAAAAACTAACTTTGGGTAACCCCTTCATTTCACAAAGAAAACTAAAGTCCCGGAACATTAAGTGTCCCCACGCCTAATGCACAGGAGCAGAGTGGGGAACAGAGAGGAGAAGAAACCAGACAATTGCACTTCCCAGCTTCCTCCTTTTAGCCGGTGGTCTCCATGGGAACCCCGAGGCAGGCCGGGCTGCAGGACCCACACACTCGCACTGAATAGAAGGTGATTCAGGATTCAAGGTGGACCGCCCAGGCATGGTGTTTCCGTCCCGCTTTACCCCAATCTCAGACACACCACATCTATAACCAGCAACTTTTCCTTTCAAAACTAAGCTTTCTTCCCAACTATTTCATTCCTGACCCCACTACCCTAATCTGCAAGCACCAGATTCCAGAAACACTTACTCAAAACAAGGCTGGCATGTGGATTCTTCCTGCAAAGTCCCTTGAGGTCCACCGAGCCAGTGATGAAAGCAAATATAAAGAGCTAGGAGCTAGGCACAGCTGGGGGCAAAGGGTTTGGTCCGCCACGTGCAAGTTCACAGCCCCAAACACAAAGATCAAAAGCCTTCGCTGCATAAAAAAGAAAACTTGCCAGTGCTGGTTTTCCCAGTCTGAGTTAGGATTTTTGCTAATTTTGTCAATGTCTCTTGCTTTCAGTGGTACTGTGAAGAACAAATAAGGACTTATTTTTCAGGATCTAGTACTGTACTTGGAACATGGTAAATGCTCATAAATGCTGAAAGACAAAGGGAGAGAAAAGGGGAGATAAAACAAGTAGGATCACAGTCTTTTCACCATCTGGGCCATGCCGGTCCCCTATTTGTCCCAAGGCTTCCTAAACTAACCCCCAAGGAAGCCACCTCCTTCTCAGAAGCTGCACACATGCTGGGAACAAGGGGGAGTCCTCAGCTGACTGCCAGATGCAAGAGTGTGAGAGGAAATGAGGCCAAAAGCCCAAGAGGTCAGGGTGGGAAAGAGCTGGGAGACCCAGAAGCTGAGCCAAACCAAAGCCCCTCCCCATGCTCCCTGCCCCCACCTCCGGTGAGCCAAACCCCTTGCTACAGCCTCAGGGGTATGGGAGGGGACTTGGCAGGACCACAAAGATCATTTCTAGCAGCTGGGGGGAGCCCGGAGCCTAGGCCCCTCCTCAGCAAACCCAGCAAGTGGGCCACTGGAGCCCTCACTGGGAGCCCTTACACTGTGGCAGGCAGGAAGGCTCTCTCCCTTTGGCTCACTCACATATCTATCCTGCACTGTCCTCTCAATGGTTCCAGAAGGCGCTGGGGTCACTAAGGAGGTGGGGCTGAGCTCTGGGACTCTAACTACTGTCCTTATCACACATGGGGGGGGGAGCACGAGGTCTCTCTCGCTCGCTCTCTCTCAGCATTCCCAAACTCAACTCTGTGTTTGGTTCCCTTCCTGCTCTAGCCTGACACGCTCACCTGAGTCCTTATCTCCCCAAGTTCACTGCTGCTTGAAAACTTACCTCGGAGAAAAAGAGTTTCTGCTAGACCCTCATCAAGGACTGGAGAGTAGGAAGAACAAGCAAGCAAGAACTAGTAGGAGTCACCCACGGTGTGTGGATCACAGATCCTCGACAAAGGGGCATTTCTGCAGTGGTCCAAAGGAGAGACAGGAGGCAGAGATCCCGGGCACAGTCCCAAAATAGTTTCCAGACATCCTCAGCCAGTCAAGGATTCCCATGGGGCAGAGCGTGGGAGCAGCGTGGGAGCCCGAAAGCAGGGGTGGCCTGGAGCTCTCGGCACTGGGCACTCACTCCTGTCCAGGCTGCCAAGAAGGAGGCGGTGGCAACAGTGTGTGCTATGGCATGTTCCTTGGGCTATCATGGGTAGACACATAACACACTAGCCAGCAAAATGACAAACTGCGTTGATCAAACTCAACTCTGTGCCTGTGCTAGGCATTACACAAACCCTACAGCACGGATGTGCCTGAAACTCTGGCTGGACTGCACACAGCAGATGAGCATATTCCCACTGCGTGCTGCACACCACTCACCCATGAGGTTTACCCATCTTGCACCCATCCTGTGGGAACACAGACTGGGACAAGTGATGCCCCCTTGTCCCGTGTCCCAGAGTCTTGGCCTGATCTCAGAATGAGCTCACTCACCAGACACATCTTCCTACACTACGACCTGCTGAGGGAAGATGATCTGGTAACACTGCCTCATCGGGGTATGTGGGACACGGCACCTGATTGGCCACCTAAGGAAACTCCATGTGAGGGAAAGGTGGCACCAGGAATGGGGGAGGGGCAGGCGGGGACGGGGGAGGGGCAGGCGGGGACGGGGTAGTGTCAGATCTGAGCGCTTGTTGGCAATGCCCAAGCCAGGCCAAGAGGAGGCTAGGATTCTCAGACAGACAACTCAACAATAAAAACAAGCACAGACACAATCTCGGAACTTCAAAAGCACAGCCGGCTCAGGCCCTACGCTGAGAAGGGGGAAGGAGGAAGATGTGCTTGGAAGGCTTCCTCTGTTTTTTCAAGGAGCCTCTGCCGCATGCCCACACCAAAGGTTGAGGTATCAGGCTGAGAGCTTCCAGCAGCACTGCAGAGCCAGCAGAACGCAAGCAGGGAGAGACGGAGACCACGCTCGGAAAGAACTGAAGAGAAGCCATCGCTAGGCAGGAGGGGGGTGCTTTGGGGAGTAAACAAACCTGCCAGCAGGCCTTCCTCCAGCAGAGAGGGAAGCTCCGGCTGACAAGGCCGGAGACACAGAGGAGGGAGGGAGCTGCCTCCGCCCTGAGCCCATCTGTCCTCAACCCCTTGTCCTGTTCTCCCCAGGGTGGGGGGCAGAACAGGTGCACTGCAGGATCTCCGTGCCCACAGCCCTCAACAGCACACACACTGCTTACAGCTCCCCCAGTCAGCAGTGGGAGGCCAGGGAAGGAAGTGGAGGTGGAACCGGGGGTTCTGCTCTGGAGAAGGGAGCGAGTGAGCTCACAGCTCTCTCCTCCCCACCCACAGCACTGCCAGTATCCACCACCCTCTGCTTCCCTCAGGGGCCGCCCACTGCTCCCAGCCTCACCAAGGCCTGCCCAGCTCCCCAGGGGAGCTAATGCCACCTGGCTCTTCTTCTTCCCCCAGAACAGGGCTTCAGAAGCAAAATTCATGCCCTCCCCCAAGCACTTCCTTGCCTCAAGTTCCTTGGGAGGAGGCCAGGGAACCACCCCGGCTCCTGATCCACCCAGCAGCCGCCTCGCCCAGGAGCCCCCATCCCACGTGGGGAAGCAGAGTCCCTCCCCGCCAGCGTCCCCACCCAGTCAGTGAGGCGGCAGGGTGCCACTTCCAGCACCTCCACAGAGCTTCCCACAGCTTTCCCAGGAAGCGGCAGGAGGACTGCCAGGGACCAAAGTCTAAAAGCCTCTGGGGACTTCAGCAGCTTGCCCACCTGCTACCCAAGCCACCTGATTCCCATAGCTCCCGACGGGCTCCAAGGGCCAAAGGGGAAAGTACGGCTGAGGCAGGGGCAGGGACAGGCTCCCTCCCCCCGTCCTGCCCCTGCCCTGATAGTCCCCACACTCCTTCCCCAGCCTCTCTGCTCTCAACTTGAGGGGCAGCCACATGAAGCTGCCTCCCGCTCTGTTCTCCCCACCCTGGGCCAGCAGAGGATACTGCTGAGTAATCCCAAACACTCAGCGGGTCCCCAGCCCTGAAAAGAGGGGCAAAGCCCAAGGAAACCTACCAATCCTGGTCCTTGCCAACGCGAGAGGAACATCTGTATTCCCTAGTAATGGCTGAGACCCCACCAGATTCTGCCCTGCTTTGCCCCAAATACCCCAGTCCCAGCCCTCAGACGATCACAGTGCCCCCTTCTCTGCTTCCCACGCACCTGGTAACATTCCCTTCCCAGTCCCCCAGACACCAAGCTGCACAGAGTAACAACAGCCGCCCGACGGATTCCCAGTCATGATGTTGCATCAGCCCCCACCCTACCCAAAATATCCTCACCCCCACCACCTCCTCTCCTCTCCAGCCATCTCCATGGTGACAGCAGCATGACTAATGACACCCTATCAGCTTCAGACTCAGGAGCACAATCCCCCCTCCCCCTTTACCCCCCCCCCAGGGCGCCCCGGGATTTCTGCAGGTTGGATGCAAACTAACAGCACCAGGGACATTCTCTAGAGATTTCCAGAGGCAAGGGTGGGGAGTGGGTTGCATGTCTTAAAAAAAAAAAAAAACAGTTCAACAAACCCAATCCCAACAGCACCCAAACCATCCAGCTGAGAAAGCAAAAAGAATCCAAACAAAACCCACACAGGCCTGAGAATTCATTGGTTGCCCACACCCCCGCCACCCCTCCCCCTCAGCTGCTGCTACACACACAGTGGGAGATTAAGGGATCACCAGAGGAGACCCTTTATTTTTATCCAATCCAGTCAAACACTTCACCCCCACCACACACGCGCACACACACGCGCGCACGCGCGCGCGCGCACACACACACACACACACACACACAAGGTACCTTGACAGCAGCCCCTTGTCCCCACGGCCCGGCTCCTTCACCAGCCTTTATTTCCACCTGCAAAAGAAGCCAGAAAGACTGATGAGCCCGGCAGACACCAGGAAAGAAGCAAAGTCCTTCGGCTGCACAGCCCCAGCACCACTGCAGGGGAAGGAGGAGAACGGGAGGGAGGGGGCCGCGGAAAGAAAGGATAGCAGGGACCATCTTCCTGCCTCCAGCTGCCGCCCAGACTCTTGGTGGATGGGCTCATTCGCCTTCCTGTGTTTTTGTTTTCATTTCTCCTTTTTCCACCCTCCCGAGATCCAGGAGGGCACTGCCCCTCCTCCTGCGTCCTGTCTGGCCTCGTCTCTCCCCGCCCTGCCCGCTCTACCTCGGCCGGCCTCCTCTGGTGCATCGGCCGGCGGGCCTCCCATTATCCCCGCCGGAGCACACGGAGGGAGGCACTGCAGAGGAGGCGGCGGCCAGCTGCCGGCTTGGCTCCCCTCCCCGCCGCCGGCGAGGCTGGTGTGGAGGGGGCGGCGCGCTCACCAGCCAATCCCCGTGGCCCGCCGGGCGGCGGGGGCAGGGCCGCCGGGGGGTGCTGGACCTGCCCAGCCGGGAGGCGGGGGCGCCGCCAAGGGTGCCGCGGAGCTGCGCTGGCTGCGGCCCAGGTCTGTCGCGGCTCCCTGGCAGGCCGGGGATCCCGGGGCACCCCGCTTCCTCCTGAGCAGGGGACCCTGAAGGTAATACCCAGGGCGTCCTCTGCATCTCCAGGGTCAAAGAGGGCAGACGGCGCCCGGGGTCGACCTGGGGGGTACTGGTGGGATTCCCCGTCCAGCCCCTCTGTCACCCCAGGACACCAGCATACCGCCTCATCCTAGCAGCAGCGAGGACAGTGCCAGGTGCCAGGATAAGAGCAGGAGTGACAACCTCCGTCATCTTCCAAGAAGGAGAAGCAGAAAAAAAAAACTCTTGGCAGTATGAACGTTTACCCCATTTTTGCAGATGAGGAAACAAGGCGAGACAAGTAAAGGAACTTACCCAAGGTGACAACAGCTGGAACACAGCAGGGGTGGGACTCCAAGCCAGATCCATCTGGCTCTACAGACCAGACTCAACCGTGACACACAGTCCTGCTCCTCCCTCCGTCTTGCGCCCACCTCGGAAAACAGACGGCTTGAAGCCCACCAAGTCAGCCTTGCCCTCCTCATACACACAGACACCCACACCTCACCCTAGATCGCTCGTCCCTCATGCCTGAACACACCCCACCCTATCCAGACAGCCTCCGCCACCACCACTAGGACATTTCCTCCTCTCTTAGAAAGGCCACAGAAGGTGGCCCTCCAGGTCCTCGGCGCCCCCCAGACCTCAGGGCTTCCAATGCCTGGAAAAGGCTGAGGACAAGAGGTGACCCAGACCCCAAGAGGTCTGGCCTCCACCTCCTAGACTCTGAGCCTTTGAACGCTACAACGCACCCAGGAGAAGAGAAGAATGGCAGGAGAAGAAAGAATAGAATGGGGAGAGGAAGGTCTTACAAACCACTCCTCGATTTCATTTCCTGGGCATTCCTGGGCACACCCTGCTGCACCCTATCCCCTCCCCGTAGCTGAATATCCCCGAAGTTTCTACCTCCTGGGAAGGGGACAGCCACAGACTCTGGTGCTTGCACGTCTGGTTGAGTTTCTGGCTCCATCACCAGCCAGCCGCAGCACCATGGTCATGTTACTTTACCTCTCTTAGCCTCACTTGGCTCTTCTGTAGAATGGAACTACAAACACCAGCTAAGCCCTGCACAGTCAGGAGGATTCTACAAAGAAAGGTAGCATGGCACCCACCACATGACCGAGCAGAGCAAGCCACCATCACTCTGAATTTCGGGGGGGAGCTCAGCATGTGCTACTTCTCATCTCACAGATGAAGGTGCTGAGGCCACAGAGGAGAGGTAACTGGTAGAACTGGTTAGGATGTGTGGGAGCCTCTGTTTCAGTGACCTGCCCAGTCGCTGCCCCCTCCACGGGGTCCCAGGCTAATACTCACAATGGGAGGAGCTGCCTTGGCCTCTGGTGAGGAGACTCCAAGAAGCACTAGGGCCCACACCTGCCTCACCCCTGGGGACAAAGGGCAGCCCTGCTGGCTCCTCTCCAGGGTAGGCAACAAGGCAAGGCAAGGAGCAGGGTCCTACACCATGGCTCAAGATGGGAAACGGCTTCTGCACCCCCAAAGCTCTTACCTTGGCCAGGCCAAGAGAAGTCCCCTCTTTAGTCTGGTCCCCAGCACCCCTGGCCCCCCCACCACCACTGCTTGGACAGTAACAGTTAACACTGTTGCCGCTGCGGCTGCCACAGTTTATCAAGCCCCTGCTGCGTCCCAGGCCCTGTGCCAGTTACGCTGTAGGAGCATCTCACTGAGCGTCTGACTTACTCCACACACAACCTTGCCTCTCATGGGGAAGCGGACGAGAGATGTTAAGTCACTTGCCCAGCAACACACAGCTGGTGAGGAGTGAGCTAGAATTCCAATCTAGGCCTTGTTCATTCCAGTTATCTCACCCCCCTCGCTCTCTGCCAACCCCAGGGAAATGCAAAAAGGGATAGGGTCATTTGAACCTAACCACTTCCCTTCAAGCTACGGGTCTGAGAATAGTAACGTTTTTCATGCCTCAGAGACTTTGGGAAGCTGCTCCTTGACTGGATTCCCCTCCCCCCGCCCGGTGCTAGGCTTCCTCCGCCTGTTCCCTCCCTCTGCCGCTCTCCCAGCTCCTCTAGCCCCCACGGGCATCCCCCGCTCCTCCGGGGCCTCACAGCGCAGCTCACAGCCTCTCCCAGAGCACCGGTCACAACCAGGCACAGTTATTTATTTACACGGCGGTCTTCCCCATGTGGGCGGGGCCCCCATCTTCCCCACTTGACTAGGCTGTGCTAAGTTTCTAGGCAAGGAGGGTGGAAAGGCAGGGGGTTGGGCACTGAAATGTGGAGGCCACTCTCCTGACTGACCTTCTCTTTGAGGTCCCCAAGGATCAGAGGGACACCTGCTCTCTGGAGAGGGTAGACCTGTTCTAACTGAACTACAGCTGAGCCTTAGCCTCGTTCAACCAGCACATGTCTTCCTCCCCAGCCTGCAGAAGCCACCCTGACTGTCTGACCCAACCCCCCCAACTCCACTGCTAATTCAGTCCTACCCTACCCACAGGTCCTGGCTCACCACTCCCCCCCAGCAGCCCAGGGATATCCTAGAAGAGCCTATGGTCCCCAGGGCAGTCTACCTGCTCCCGTCTCTGTCCCACACGGGCCTCCTGCCCTTTCCTGAGGAACCTGGAATGTCAGGGCTCCAAGGAGTCACAGAGGTGCATGCTCCTAGCAGAGACACTGTCCACACCCCACAACCAACCCTCTCCCATCTCTACTGGCCTCTCTTTCGACATTTTGGACTTCTCAGTGACTGACCCAGAGGTACTTGGGATCCCTGGGGGCTGAGGGGCCCCTCCCCACTTTCTGTCATGACCCCAGTCCCACCATACTCCCAAAAGAGGAATAGGGCCACAGCCATCCCCACTGAGGAGAGGCAGATGGATTCACTCACTCTCAGAACACACAAATTACCCCAACACTGAGAACCTCAGTAACATGGGTACCCACAGGCCAGAAACCAGACAGATATACAAAGACTAGGGGATGGGGACACATCCAGACATAGATTCAGGAGTATGTGCAGGAACATCAACCAAACATCAACCCCATGTAGGGCCCCACACTTGGAGCACGATGTAGCATATCTTATTTAATCCTCAAAACAAACCAGTGAAATAGGAATTCACACCCATTCTACAGATAGAGAAATCCATTTACAGGGAGACTAAGCACCTTGCCTAAGGTTGATGACTGAGCAGGGCTCTTGCCATCCCCTCACTTGCACTGATACAGTCGGGCTGCTCTGTGTAGTGCTAGGATTTTCATATCAACCTACCTCTTCTAGCGTTGGCAGAAGATAAACTTCTCTTCTCCGGCACAGCTGTGTCCTGAATGAGGTCACTCCCCACAAAGCTTTACTCTAAAGCTCAGTTCAAGACCCGATTCCTCCAGGAAGCCTTCTAGGGTTACCCCAGTCCTCTGTCAGCTGACAGCACTTCTAACGTTTCTCATTTGACACTCGGTACTGCTATTTGTCTGTCTGGGTGTCCTGCCTCCCCCACCAGAATGGCTGGAGTCGTGCATTCCCAAAGCCCCTGCGGGGTTTTGCCCAACATACCACACACGGAAGGCACCTGAAATCAACTGTGGGGGAAGTCATACCTTCCTCTCCTTCCCTCTCCATCACACAAAGGATCCTGCCAAAGAAACCCAATACCCCCTCCACCTTCAGAGCCTATGTTTGAAGTCCCCGGTGTCCACGCATCAATTTCCACCCAAGTAATTGCAGCCCATCACACACATCATCCCCTATATTTGAAACTCTTTGCGGTTGTCATGGGAACTGCCTTTGCCTTCATTCACTGATCAGGCCTCACAATTAGCTTTGGCAGCGGAAGTCTGTGTCAACAGCAATCACAAGGAGGAGGAGGAGGAGGAGGAG